GCTGCCGCGCGCTGTTCCATGGGTGTCGGGCGGAGGGGGGTGGGGGACTCGAGTCACGTGACTTGAGTGGAGTCAGTCTTAAATTGCCAGTTCAAGGACTAAGGACGAAAACTTCTGAAAGACTGCACCGGACTTGACTCATCTGTTGTGATGGACCGTGAGGACGGATGTTGACGCAAGAATTATCCTTTTTTAAGATGGATTAGCCGCAGCGGTTTAGCAGAATCCTCAGCCTCTTCCTGCTCCATCCGCACTTGGACACTTGGAGATTTGATGGAGAAACTGTTTTATGGGGAAGTGATTTTATGTGTGTGTGTGTGCGCGCTCATGAGTAATTTGTATACAAATGAGTAGTGTGTCCAGAATTTCCGGCAAGTGTGAAATTAAACAACCAAGTCAATCTTTCGTGATGTGCCTATATCCAGCCCACTGTGATGAAACAGTGGGACAAATGAACATTTGCCCCTTCTCAAGGTTTCTCTTTTAGTTTTCCCCAGATGGGGAGTTTTGAGTTTTTCCTTGCCCTACCGGGGGTTCAGGTCAGAAGATGTTCATATTTCTCAACTGAGGGCAACTGAGAAGCCCTTTGAGACTCTTTTTGTGGTCAAGGGATACAGAAATCAACGGCACTTGACTTGATGATTTGAAATGAGCACATATGAGCAACTTGAACACACGAGCTAAACGCATCACCCCCAAAAAATCAGATGAAAAGAAATCAATCTGACCATCCACCAGGTGTCGGCGCCGACATCGTAGCGCAGTTGCCACCTCACTGAGCCGGATGCCGTTGCCATGACGACCGCGACGCTGTCATAAGACGGAGATCTGGACAGTAACAGAAGACAAACACGTGTGGCGCTTGAGGAAAGAACGAGATCCTCATCTTCATCTTCTTGGAAACGTCGCCAGAGGAACCCGGTCGTTCTGAAGGAGGTCCGCTGTGCGCACTTTTTGTTCCACTTAGAAGTGAGCGAGGAGTCCATCCAGCGGCTCGCCTTTGCTCAGACGTCCTCACATCACACGCTCCAAAAAAAACAACTTCTGGACTCCACCATGGGGGCGTCACTGAGAAGATTAGAACCTTCATCAAGTTCTTACAGCGCGGGCGCGGGCGCGGCGCGGACACACACGCACACGCGACGTAAACAAACACACACGCAGGAAGCGGATAAAGTCTGTGCTTCAAGGCGGTCTGAACCAAACAGCGGCCGTGTGGAATTTGTCCCCCGCAAATGGCGGACGTACTTGACACGATTGTTGATACGAAGTCGACGCCACATCTGTTAAATAACTACACACACGCACGCACGCACGTAGTGCTGACGTAAGTGGTTCGTTGGAGTCGTACAGGAGTTACGTCAATGTTGAGCGCCACTTAATGGGAGAAAAATCAAAATCCGGCACACGTTCTGTTTTTCTTGCTTCTGTGTCCCACATTTCCCTTCGTCATCATGTCCTTCAATGACGTCTCCGGTGTCTTTCTCACGTAGTTCACCATTTTGCTCGTGTCCTCCATGCGCCGCGACGTACATCAACATGTACGGCCGACGCTCAGGTCGCATCCGCGACAAGAGGGAAAAAAAAGGCCTTTTGTACCTCACAGATGCAAAGTCTTTTCTTCAAAGACGTTGGAGCCACGAGTGCTGCCATTAATCAAACGATGATCTGACTAAGCGGTTTAACTGGTTGAAATGAATCTCCATGCAGTGCCCGTGGCGGCTTACCAGTTCCTTTGGCACGGAAGCATACCAGCCTGCCATTTTTTGTTTTGTTTTGGGGTTTTTTTTGTCCAGAAAGCATCCAATCTGGAGGCCACATAACGGCACGCGGCTCCGGCAGAGTCAAGAAGAGGCAGCGTTTTATTGACCACATTTGGACACCCAAGGTGTCAAGATATGTTTAACGTAGCGCACAGACTGAGATGTGATTGTTACGTGGACATTTGTGGCAAAAGGCAAAAAAAAAAAAAAAAGTCTTCCTGGAGACGAAACCAAAGCTGGGAAATCCATCCTTTGTCCTACAAGCTGGTTTGTTTCACTTCGTCTTCGCGCATTTCCACCACCTTGTTCTCGTACCCAAACATGTCTTCCTCCTCCACCTCGTCTTCCCTGTGACACAAGGCAACAACCCACATGTTGGTCACCACTACAGAGCAATGCACACTTATTCTTACTGCGTTTGTTCCATGAAGTTCCATTTGGGTTTTTTTTTGTTTTGTTTTGTTTTTTTTTGCTATAGCAGTGTGCAGGTTTCTTTTGGTTGCGCTGCCTCCAGACTTTTGTCCAATCAGATTTCAGCCGCCATGTCTTTGCCATGTGAATCTCACCTGCCTGCCCAGGGCACGTGGGACTTAGTGGGGCTGTTTCGTCAACCGATCAGATTTCAAATTCACCGTAGCCGTCGAGGATGTCAACATTTTTTTCATAAAGTGTGTTTTTTTTGTTTTTTGTAAACAGTTGAAAGGGTGACATGCCCACCCTAACCTTTAGTTCGGCAAAGGAGAACCCTTTACGAGCCACAGGATTTGGCAGACCTGTGAGCAATATTTGCAAGAAATGTAACTTGTCACAAAGGAAAAAAAAATGTGCTCATGAAAAGTGGAAGCAAAACCAAAGGTGTTGGAGTTTTATTTTTGATGGGCTCTTCAACGTTTATACTGATTTCAATTTGAGTTTTGCAACGCGTGTTAGCATTACGCCCGAGGGCTTTCAGAAGAAAAACCACATCGTCTATTTGCTTTCGTTTTCACCTGCAAGTGGCAACAAAGCAAGCACGCTTGAGCTCTTTTTGCCATCCGCCAAAAACGTTGCAATGCCTGCTCAAGGAGGGTGCATGGAAATCATGGCTGGAAGAAACCGGTCTCATAAGATCAATTGTTTGCCCGTAACACAAAGAGGAAAAAAACAAAGTTGCCCAAATCAACGCCCCATGTAAGGTGAGGCAGTCAAATGTCAAGGGAGCACGGTTATGATCGTCGTTTGTCGTACGACGGCATGCGTGCTTGAGAGTGACCTGTCCTTCTTCAGGAGTCTGCTGAGGATGACGAAGACAAAGACGACGAAGAGGAAGACCACCACGGCCGTCAGCCCCGTCAACCACGGCTGAAGCGTCACCGAGCCGGAGGCGGACGCACGCACATCTGACAAACAATTAAAAACGGAAAGGAACGGATGGTTGTTTTTCATTTGAGTCAACAGCTGGACGTACTTTTTACTTGTTTCCAATTCGTCATTACTTTTCCAATTCATAGCGAAAAAATCGTCGGTGGAGCGATGTGAAAGAGAAGCTCATTGCAAATGTTTTGTATGTTGGTTAGCACGTCCACCTCACAGGACAGAGGTCATGGGCTCCATGCCGGGTCCCGGGCTTCCTGTGTGCAGTTTGTATGATTTTGGAATGTGGGAGGAAAGCTTACCTGGACCTTGACAAAGAAAAAATTGTGAAGAATGAATTATTTTGTAAAAATATATTCTGCGGACTTTACATGTATTCGTTTGTATTTTTTTATTTCAATATGTATTCACTCTGAATTAAAAAGTTAGGTCAACAATTTTAAAGCTGTTTATTCTTAAAAAAAACGCACACATTTTGAATTCATTTGAGAATGAATTCTTTTGAAATGGAATTAAACGTGGGCAAATATTCCATGTATGTATTGATTTGTATTCATTAGATCCAATTCTTCAAATTCACTAATGTATTGTAAAAAATGTCTATGTATTTTGCATGTCCATCAAATATTAAATGGATTATTGAATGCACATTGACAAAAATGTGACTGTACTATTATTTGAACAATTATTTGAACAATTTTACATGTGCACTTACAAATTACTCAGTTAATTATATTGAGTGATTGATGAATTGCTTGAGTGATTGATTGGCCTCAAGTGTGAAAGTGCTGCACAAAAGTTAGGCCAACGCCAAGGGGGGAAAAAACCAAACTTTACCTGTTTTGCGAGTGGAGGCCTGGGCTGCACTCTGCAGCGCACAGAAGACGACAAAAGCCCAAAACATCCCGAAAGTGTCCGAGTAGCTTGTTCACACACAAAGACAGATGACGCGCTACACTCCTCAAGCCTTTCCTTTTACTGCGGTGATCAAAGGTCACCGATACGCTGTGCTTTCCCTTCCAACCAGGGCGTGGAATCATCACGCTGCCTGCTGTGTGTGTTAGTCGCAAGCAGCGTGCAGCCCCTCGGTAATACGCATCCAACAAGTATTACGACAAGGACAAACTTCATTAGTTGGAAGTAAGATTGTGATTTCAGACTAGCGGTCCCTATAGGCAAGGCCTGGCTTGTTAGGAGACAGACATCGTTCATGAGGAAAGCTGTAATGTCACAAGTAGACCAGTGAGGTGACGAACGTGTTATGATTACAGATTGTCCATGAAGGCAACATCTGACTTGATCGACAGAAGGCTGATTGATGAGTTCACCGGGCCTATAGTTGATCGGTTGTGAGCAAACCTCTGATTTCAGACTGTCGCTCAAGGCAACACCTGACACTGTAAAACGTGAAAACCCTCCGGAAATGTGTTTATTTTAGAGTGAAAACTTTGTTATCGTTTTGTTTCTCAATGTTGTTTTAAATATGTCGTATGCTTGCATTGTAATTATGTACAGCACTTTGCTGCAGCAATGGTTGTTCTCAAAGTACCATACAAATAAGTTGAATTGAGTTAATACAGACAAAGTTGATCAAACGTGAGGAAAATGGTGATTTCGTACTGAAGCGACTTCAGGTCAGGCAAGTCATTTTAATGTGAAAGAACCCAAACGGAAACGATGTGTTTTCGTTGCCTTTTTTTAACCTTAAAATGTGTGTTTCAGCCAAAAGTACCGCTAAAAGACACACACACACACACACACACACACACACACACACACACACACACACACAAAAACACACACACACACACTACTATAAAAT